TGAAGAAACTCCGTACAACAAATAATTAAATTAAGTTTTAACTTATAATTACTTGATGAAAATTAAATTTATCAATGCTAAAGAGTGCCTAACAAGTGAGCATGTATTTAAGTTTACTCACTAACTGCATTAGTGTAGTGATAAATTGTGTATTGTTTTAATGGAGAATTCGTTTCACATTATGAAGAAATTGCAGTAAAAAATCTTAAAGGGCCTATACCTTAGTTAAGTTTATAAAATAAACCATTATACAATAATGCACCTCCTGTTTAACCACACGAAGTGATAACGTTCAGATTAAATTACTCTTACATACAAAAATTGTTAACATAATGACTCGCTCGAATTATTACTGATATAAGTAAATGGACTATCAGAAATTCGATATGATAATTAAAAGAATAACATTATTATGTATCAAATGGAAATTGAAGGTAGATAACATGATCAGCATTCAACCACATTCTTTCATGGCATTTAAGTGTCAATAAGTTTCAGCATATATCATGAACTAATGGTAATCCTTTTAATCTCCTTACTCAACTCATGTGCAAGGCTATTATGAATTATGCCTTCACAGCAATTTAATTTTTATTCTTCATTTATTACACATTCTCATCACCGAATAAATGTTTTAGTGTACTTCACATTTTTGGACGGGGTCAAACAGGCACCCCAAAGTATCAGGTAGATAAAACGGTGCACGAATTGGTACTCGTCACCGTTCCCTTTGATGGGGTTCGTTAATAATTATATTTATGGATGCATGTTAGAAAACAGTGTGAATATTTGACATAGTTATGTGTATTATTGATTGTATTACCAAAATAAAAAGCTTTAAGATGTCGACAATGGAATTTATGAAAAGTATCAACACGAAACTGGACCTGCCTCACGTTATAGTGCCCACAAATGTCCCCGGTAAACAAGTTTCGTGGTTAGAAACTGGATTTCGGTATTCTAACCGCGTCTTTTTGATGAAGTCCCCATGAGGGATCAAGGTAGCGTCAAAAAATCGTCTCGTATTACAAGGAATATCTCTAGGAACTTACATTGTCCTAGGAAGGATCTCCAACGCTGGTGCTGTTCAGATGTCCAGGAAACAAAACGTCGAATACTTTTGACGCCACCATGTTCTGTCAAACGGTTTCATCAAAAAGACGCAGTTAGTATCCGGAAATCCAGAGTTTCTTCAAACAGCAGCCGTGAAAGCCTAAATCAACTTCTAAGTTTTGTAGTAATTACGGGGAAGCCTCTTTTAAATAAAAACATAGAAAACTGTTTACCTGATCTGTTATAGATATTATCATAATCACAATTAGCGAGACTTCGACTACCTGGACCGGCCAGATGACAATTCGACCCTTTTTCTAAGCGATTATCAGGTAACAGTTCAGCTCGGTCCTTTCTTTTAATTGTAAAATGCCGTAAATTAATAATCGTGTCAAATAAATTTATAACAGTTAAGCAAGTAAGTTTGAATATGTTTGCCGAGTTCTTGCCGAGATACCTTATCTTATTCCTTGTTCGCAAGTAAAAGTGGTTTGAGAGAGAGAGAGAAGTTAGGCAAACTAAATATATAAATCATTTCGTTAATGCTAAAGAGACCGGTGCAATTCAAGCCTTAATTAAGTTGATCCATATACATATAAATCATTTCGTTGTCCCCAATTTATTCCTGTCCGTAATGTTGTGAAGCATTCCTGACAAATTAAACTTAAATTCATTGTTTTCCACGGACTAAGTTCCTTATATATCTGAAATTCGTTTAATTTGGAAGTGTAATCACGAAAGTCGTGGGGTTCTTCAGTAGTCCAAGTGTTTTGTCCCAGTTTCTGTATTTGCGGTAAACTGCCAACTGTTCCTCGTTTAGTTTCAACCTTAATTTTCAAATTACATTTGTACGTTGATTTGCGAGATTAAGCCTTTTAAATACCTATGCACATTATGCATGTAACGGAATATTTCCCTAATGACGTCTCTGTGTTTCCAGTGATGTCCCCCTTCATTTTTGATTGATTATTTTTAATAGAAAATTATTTGGACCCTTTAAATTGTTATTAAATGCTTTACGTGCAGTCGTGCTGTAAAAATGTGTGGAAATTGCATTAAACGCTACTAATTTCAAAAATCAACAGGTTGTTCATGTAGTATACGTGACAATTAGTACAACATTCGACCAATTTCGCTTACTTTTTTTGTAATTAGTCGATATAAGCGACGTTCGTCAAATTCTGTCTGGTCTTTTCAAATGAAAAATTAGTCTCGTTTTAACAGCATTTTATATTCTTTTACTCATCGTCGGTTAAAAATCGCTTTTTTTACGCCAAACACTTTACTTATTCACTTAGGTTTTATTTTCTCAACGTATATTTCATCAAGACAGCACCGAGACGACGGGCCATTTATCTTTTAGAACAGGAAGCCCGAAATGCTAAATTGTTATTTTTATTGGAAGCATAGTACAGCATTCGCCGGCGAGAATCTTAATGTGACTTGTTTGTACCGGATTGACTTCCCATTAACATAAAAATACCCGAAATTATACTCGACGCGATATAAATAAAATAGTAAACCGAATATCTCACCCGTCTTTGAAGACCAGCCTTTAAATTGTTCCTCGACGATTTTTTTCAAAGTCATCACTCAAACAGACCAGAAGCTACAATACAGCATTGTTTATAACATGAAAAATAGAAAACAAATGAACATGATAGTACATTAATTAATTAAACCACAACGTAAAAGTACAAACCACAATGTAAAATAAATCCATTTAACAATAACGTCACAACGTATATATACAAATTTAATATACACTTTCCGTGAATAATGAGCAAACAATGGCCGCAACGTAAAAGAAAATCCACCAAAGTTCGTAACATATAAGACATAATACAAACTTCGTAACATCATCACTCAAATAGACCAGAAACTACAATACAGCATTGTTTATAACATGAAAAATAAAAAACAAATGAACTGATAGTACATTAATTAATTAAACCACAACGTAAAAGTAAAAACCACAATGTAAAATAAATCAATTTAACAATAACGTAACAACGTACCTATACAAATTTAATATAAGACATAATATGAATTTCGTAACAGAAAAAAATCAAATTAGAACGTAAGCCTCTTGATTAAACTGAACCCAATGCGCCAATGATGGCCACAATGTAAAGAAAATATCTATTTAAACCTATAACATACAAAATTACAGAAAATCTAAAGTAAATTATAGTGTCAATATGTAATTTAATTTAACCACAATTTTTGTAATATAATTCACAATTTTACTAACAACAACATAAGGAAGAAATCTACCCAAGGTATATTATTTATAACAAAATATAAAGAAAAATTGCAACGTTAATTAAATAACACTTTTCTGTACATGATGGGCAAATAAAGACCACAACCACAATCATAACACATAAAAATTACGTATCCCGTTACGAAGAACTTTCTTACATGCTTCTTTATACCACAATTTCTGTAAGATGACCACAACGTAAACAAAAGATCTGCGATCACGATAAACCATAAATTTCCTTAAAAATGTAAAGCGTCTGAATAACAAACAAAAAAGAATTTTCCACCAAGGAGTTTAAATTTTTTTTGTAATATCCCGGCAGCCACATTTACCCCAACATTATACGTTGAATTTACCATTTCCCGACAACTTCTCGGCAATAAAAAAGAAATAGCGACAGACCGACCTATTCGAATGGCACATTGTCCTTTTACTTCGTACGTTTACGTCTGTTTTTTTTATTCCTTGAAGTACCGCAGACACAAAAAATCGTGACAATGGGGCGCCACACCCTTCTCGTTTTACTAAAGCACGAGTTATGAAAATTTGCTTATAAAAATCTGCCTACCAAACTGAATAAAAAAAAACAAAAAAAGTGAATCTTGCCAATTTAAAATCTGAACTTAAATAAAGCAAATAATATCACGAATAAGCGACTTTATATGTTTATTTGAAATATAACTATCCCGCCATGTTATACATTTAAAAATGAGATATAATTTCTTTAATCTATATTGAAAGCGAATTATACAATTTCGAATGACTAGTCAACAATTTAACTATAGTTAATTAATAACCTATTAGTACAATAATAATCTCGGCGTATCTCGACGTAATTGGGGAACGTAGAAATGACAGAGATCTATCACAAGGTAAGTGAAGACGGTAAGTCGTCTCACCACCCTGCATCTTCGTGATGTTCAGTTCGACTTTCGACCCTTCGATTATTATTAATTCCGCTATTTAAACGGTCGCTAATTGACCTACTATTATAAAGAAATTTTGAAAAAAAATTCTCGTGTGACGCGGTGTAATTATTAAATAATTTCCAACCCTGTGAGGTCAAAAATAAAAAATGCATATATATGTATATATACGAGCGCGATGAACTCAAGTGCTTATTAAAAAAATAGCGAAATGTATAACTAATTCAAGAGAGAAAGGTCTAAGTTCCTTTTCCTTTTTTTTTTCCTTTCTTTTTGTATTTGAAATACACGAAGATTTCGTGGGTGGCTTGTTATATTCCGCTTTAAAGTAGATTTCAAATTTGCATTAAATAGCGTTCCTGGCGATTTTTTATTCGAACCATGTATTAATTAAAATTAAACCAACTCGAAACTGCACAGAGCAATTAATAACGACTCTGCAGCAGCATCAGGCACGTTTCAGCGGTTCAGTTTAATAGAAGCTGCCCTGTTTTTTGATTAATCAGTTTCAGACGTTACATCCTATGTAGCCATTACATCTTTGACTAACTAGCAGAATAAAACTAAGCCACTTTTACAACTTTCGATCTAACGACACCGCCACAAACATCTACATAAATACATACATACATACATTTGTATGTATGTAAAATTCATAAGTACAATTAATTAAAGTCGTTACGTATTCATCTCTTTCTGAATGTTTGAAGCTAATACTAAAAATGAAATAGCAAACATAAATATTTGTCACTCACCCTTGATATGCAAATTTTGCTCGAGTTGTACGAGACAGAAATCTGAAAAAAAAAAACATGTTAAGCCATGATATTATTTATACGTTCAAAACCAAAATTAAGTAAAGGCAAACAGAGAGAAAAATTACCATGCTCTTCACTATAAGGTGGATGCAAGAAACATGTATTGGCAAAATTCAATATTCGCTCAATAATTTTTGGAAGAGAACCTTATAATTTTTCATAGAAAGCATAGGGTTTTTTTTTATTGAATGTTAGAAGCACCCAGATTATGAGATAGCATAGTAAATTTTTCTCTTCGTGCACTACCAATATCAAATTGACCATAAAAAACGAATAGGATTACATTTTCATAGGCTTTCGGATAACATTGATTTTTTTTATTTTGTTTAAACGTTTTACCAATTTACTAGTGATAAGGTCTTATGATAATCCCTAATTAATGGATTCATATATTTTGTGTATTAGTCACCGGTATCCTCTAGTATGAAACTTTTGACGTGAAAATTGTTTCATTAAACCAGTGAGATAATTTTTAGTTTTACATGTCCTGATCGGAAAACCTAAATTACATTAATAAAAGGTATTAGAACCAGGGGCAGAAACGGGAGTTAGAAGGGATAGACCTACTAGGTTAGACTACTGTTCGCAAATAGTTAAGGATGTGGGTTGTTCTAGTTTTAGCGAAATGCGAATGATGCTAAGTCATACAACGAAATAAATCATTATTGGAAAGGATTTTATAATCTCTTTTATTTTTTATGATAAGCATTTCAGCAATAAATTGTGAAAATAGTCGCTATTTCTGATCCAATATCAAATAATACAAAGATGCGATGTCTGCAACATGGGACTTTTACATCAAAGAAAGTAGTTATTTCGCATCTCTTTTACAAATTCTTGTGGTTCGATGCTTCACATTTTAGATTGTTTATGAGACAGTTTTATATGCAGGTATACAAGGTAAAAAAAAAGCACAATAACAACAACAGATGCAGGATTATAAGACAAAAATGCACGTCGATTGTCAGCATTGCAAAAACACATACCTGAAGAACTTCTAACATAATGACTACGTCTCTAATTCAACAGAAATAAAGTTTCTTTAGAATTTAAAAACAAAGGCATTTTATTAAACGTCTTTCCCACATTTGTTCAGGAAAATGAGGTCAGCTAGGATAGCCATCAGTAGAATGAATAGTAAAAATAAAGACCATTTGAATATAGGTACTTTTAAAATATATTTATAGGAACAACAGAATCGTGATATTCTATACAGGGTGTTTATTGGAACTTCCTTGCAATTAGGTTTTTTAATTTTATTTTAGTGGCTTCTTAATTTTGAATTTACTTAAAAAAATTTTAGCGTAAACAAACAACAACAAAACTAACTAGAATTAACTGATCATAAAAATTCCACGTTTTACGTTTGCTCTAAATTTCAATGCAACAACCAAGGAAATAATTACTTTCACCCTGTTTGGAAAAAAAAATACTACGGTAAAATTGTATTTTCTACAAAAATGTATATGACATAAGTTATTTGTAAATTCAGCAATTTAGATTAATATTTTATGAGGCGACGACTAAAGATTACACTTGTCCGCAGTGAACAGATTTTGTGTTAACTGGAGTAAGTCTTTTTTTGGTTTATACATTCCTTTTCGACAGTCTTTCTTTTCTACTTTCATTTACAATATTTAAATTAGAACGAAAACCCGAAAATTTTCGCATATTAAGAAAAGACGAAGTCTTTTATGCTGAGATTCAGATATGTGCGAAGAAACCAAGCAAGAAATCTTCACAAATAAAATTTCATTCAAATTAAAGCTACATGTAATGTATACGTTTGAGAGTGAATTGCTAGAAACTAGGAGATTTATTTAAGAATGTTCAAGCACGAACACTTTAAAGCTTACTGTACTTTAGCAAATCTAAATGGTTTTAGCAGATACGGTCTAAAGTACCCTACCTGAGGTACGTGTAAATCGATAATTCTAAGTCTATGGTGTCTCAGGGAAAATAACACTCTTTTATTAAAGAGAAAAATTGAACTTAAGCATAATATGTATACTGTTAAGAGAGTTCGATCGGTTTTTATAGATAAATGTGCTTTCAAAGCTCATGCAAATGTTCCTTAACTAATCTAAGATTGTCAATATTGATCTTATTATTTTCGGGACAACAGTCGATGTTTTTGTTCAGTTTTTGAACTTAATGTGAATTGAGCGCCTAGTTTTCCCAACACATATCATGCCACAATCTTTACAATCAATTTCATATATCCCCGACATTTCTAGAAAAGGAACTTTAAACTTGGGACTACCAAGAAGAGTTTGAAGAGAATTTAAGTTTGAACTATAGGAACATAATTTGAAAACCGAATTTACGAAAAATACCTTCGAGTCTTCGAATAAATCTTGGCTCATATGACATAAAACTTGGTTTTGATGTTTTTTTTAATTAACAGATAGGGATTTTGAAATGTGATTCTTAAATTTTATTTTATCAATAATATCACAATTATAACCATTACCTTTCACAGAATTTTTAATTGCACAAAGTTCATTATTAAGTGGAAAACTCATTAATCTATGTACTAAGCAATTATGTTGACTACAATGATTAGAGCATCTAAAACTGGTAGCTTTCGTACCATTTCGATGGTAAATTTAACAGAAGGAAAATATGAATTTAATTTAGCAAGAAAGTCGTAGATATTGCCAGAGGTTATATCGAGAACAGCAAAAATATCGTCCTGATATTTGAAGTACTCTTGGTGACTTAAGTCGCTTTCGAAACTCATGAAAAGATCGGCTATAAAGGGTGATAAGGAGTTCCAAATAGCTATTCCTTCCTTCTATTCATAGAAGCAACCATTTATCTGAAAATAATTTTACCGCGTGCACATAGAAGCTAAAGCTAGATACTCGGAGTTACAATAGGTGCGAAATATCTTTGAGTACCTAAATCCTTCAAATATGTCAGGATAAATGGAACTGCTACACTTGGAAAAAGAGCAGATATCAAATGAAACCAAAACTTCGAATGGTCGTTTTCACGGTTAATAAATCAATAAATATATATTTTACTGAATATTCATTTGATCACAGCGAGCAATATTTCGTTTTTAACATTTTCTTTTTAATGATATTTTTTAATAAATAACCTGTTACATGCACGAAGTATTAAAACGGGAACAGTTCTCATAAAAATAAATGAGTGGCAACCCCTATTGTGACATCAGGACGATCAAAAAGAATCTATGTGAGCTCATGTTTTGCACGAATGTGACTCATAGATAACCGGTCTGTAGGTAGATCAAATTTTAGTAATTATTCACTACAAGGGGTACGTATTCGAGTTAGTCAAAAAATGATTAGTCATAAGCTAAAAAAACCTTTCATTCAGTTCATGCAACGTGCATTTCAAGAGGGTGCACTGCAAATCGTTGCAATCGTCCAATTCAAGCGTTATCGAAATGCATTGTGGAATTTCGAGTGTTCTGGAACACTGTTAGAAGTATATATTTAAAACCTTATATCAGTAGTTAGGTAGCGTCCAAAAAAAAAAATGACTGAAAGTATTTTCTATAGATATATGCACCATTTCGTTCCGAGTCATTTTTATAAAAACTTTTTTATTAAATTATGGACAAACCTGCCGCAAGTGGAACACCCTGTACACTCAATGTGTGAATCAAAACCAAAAAAGGTTTATTTTTTAAAAATCAAGCGTCAACGTGTCGCCCTAGTTGTCTAAAGGTTAGTTCTTTGAAGTTGATGAAAATGTAGTTTCAACATTTGCAAGATTATTTATAGGTGTATTGAATAGGGTCATTTGTGGCTTATGAAACTAATGCACATAATCATGAATCATATATAACGAACATATCAATCGTGTTCATTTTAATGAAGGGTAGGATACGAAACAATGAGTGACAGTAAATAATAGGAATGAATGCTATATTTGTATCAATACGTATTTTGCATGTGCGTATGCATCAGCGTTTTCTGGTGGCAATTTTACAGTTGGAAAATTGCATTTATTGTTTTAGTTTTTCCAATAGCTCTCTGTGTAAATGTATCACAAAATGAAAAATGTCAAGCATATTAAACAGCCGGTTTTGTTGTTTTGATCGAGTTCGCTTATTAAAAAATTGCTCATATAACAATACTGCAGCGCGAAAGCTATTTAAATTGTAGAAAAGATTAATATTTTAATTTCTTGAGAATGAGATGCCTATCGTAAATTCTGAACTCCAACCGAGTTTTGAATTTAATATCGCTCGATACTGTTTTCTATTTGCACTTGTAAGTATAATTTATTATTTCTAATGTGTAACTTTTATTTCACACAGTCACGAAAAACGGAAGGTATACATGTATACGATCACAGCACTGCAAATACAAAATATTTTGCATAAAGAATAAAGAATCACGAATAGCGGTAGAATTTGTAGTTACTCTAAAAAAAATAAGTAATTATCGTAGTCTGTATTTGTTTAAACTTTACAAACAATAATTCGCCTTTTTATACTGTATCTTCCAGGTAGAAGATAGATAATCTATTAAAAAATCATATTTTCATATTTAAAAAAAGAAGTTAAAAGAAAAGTTTATTATTGTTAACCAACCTTATTGTTTCGTTATTTAAAACTAAACAGCAAAGGTACAACTTACATGCAATCAGAATCTGGAGTGTATGATTTTTATTTAATGTTCTTTTTATTTATTACTAAACAATTTGTTGGTAGAACTCTCTAAATTAACGTGTAGTCTTTATTATTAAATCTGACATAATCAGAAGTAGAGACATTGTTTGTGACGTGCAATGCTAATTGAATTATTATGAGTTTTCATACGAGTCGACGATGTGGAAATTAAAAAAATGTAGACGCATACGTTTACGTCAAAGAGAATAGTCACTTTATAACTCATCCCTGTGGCCTTTGTGAACGAGTGCAACTCGAAATTTTTCATTTAAGAAAACAGAAGAGAAGTCCATTTACTTTGAAACTTACAAGTCTCGCTTAACGAAGA